GGGAGGCCCAGGCAGAGTGAGCGGAGGCCACAGGGTCGTTCTGGAGACCGAGAAGGGACAGGCGGTCCAGGCGATCGTGTGTGAGCGCGCAGAGCTTGGGCCTGCAGTGAGCTCAGGGTCCCCGGGGTGACTATGTGGCTCCTGAGAGCTTCTGTAAGGCCACCCCCGGTGCTGACAGGACAGAGCCCCCCCTTGTGCGGTCGCTGGCGGGCTGCCTGGGGACCCCCTAACCTAATGGAATGACACTGTGGCTTCCTTTCCCCTCCTTCCAATTGCTTTCTCCAGGAGGCAGAGTGAGGGAGGCCAGGTCCCAGCAAAGAGGAAGGCCCCCCGGGCTCCTCGACGCCACCCTGGGCCTCAGCAAAAGGCGTGGGGACAGATGGCGGGTGGCAGGAGCCCTTTGCCCATTTCCTGTCCTGATTGGTCGCCTCCTCAAGGACACCCAACGTCCGGCAGCCCGCGGGCCGGATCTGGAGGTTGTCAAGTGAAGCGACCAGACAGCGCGTCCCCCTGCGTGGGGCGCATTGGTACTGGACACCGCCTCAGAGACTCAACTTCCCGCCGCTCCGTCCGCATTTCCTCACTTACAGGAAATCAGAGGACCACGGGGCTGGAGCCCAAATCCCTCCTGAGCAGAGGGGATTCCGGGTGTCATGGTTTCCAGGAAGGGAACGCCATCTCTCTGTGGGGTGTAATTACATCTTCGCTTTCTGCAGAAGAATAGTTTATGGCTTAAATGCTATTAATTGTAAGCCGTTTTGTTCCGCGGGAAGTTGTTCATTGATAACTACCCAATTAGGGTTATTTTGCAATTAGTCTATTCACAGTAAATTTATTGCAAGAGGCGGAGGCCTCTGTGGAGCAGGCTGAAGTATTGCCGGGGCTGGGTGGGAGACGGCGCTTCAGTGCCCACCTTCGTAACCAGCTCAGCGGCCCCAGGAGGGCAGGCCACCTTGGCGGAGGCGGTACAGGCCTTAGGACAAGACCCAGGCAAGTCCACCCTGAAGAACCGCACCGTAGGTGTCTCAGCATGACCAGGAGAACCGTAGGAACCCCCAGCTCACGGTGACGCCATATTTACTTAGGGACAGTTGCGGAGCAGGTCATACAGCAAATGTGTATGCAACGCACAGTCCTGGCTGACCCGGCAAAGTTCTTAACTGTGTGTTCAGCCCTCACAAACCCTCTGAGATAGGTGTGCTCATGTTCCCCTCCGCTTAACAGATGGAGGCAACAAGGCACAGAGAGGTCAAGCGAGTTGCCCAAGGTCCCACAGCTTGTGAAGGGGCGATCTGGAGTTTGAATCCAGGAATCCCGGCTTCACAGCCAGGCTCGTAACCACTGGCAACATCCCTCCCCCCATATGCCCCCCAGCAATGCCCTCCCTTCTCCTTTGTGAATATACCGAGGACCGAAGGGCACAGGGCCAGGTTTATGGGATGCCGGCTCAGTCACCTGAGTTCCAACACCTGCTCTGCCACCTACCAGCCACGTGCCTCTGGCCAAGTTCCAAACCTCTTGGAGTCTCCATTTCCTCATTGGCAAAATGGGTTCGCCATAGACTTACCTGTGGGGCTAGAGCGCGGGTGCTGGGAGACAGAGTCCTAGAGGCCAGCGCGATCGCTTCCTAGCTCAGGACGCTGCCGTGAATGATTTTTCAACTTAACACGGGAGCAAAACCCGACCGTACAGCCACGCGGTATTGCAGCTTCAGAGCTTATTCAATAAATCACACGAGAGCGTCAGCACTTTATCACCGAGCGGGCTTCCTGTTAGATGACTCTGCCCGGCGGCAGCTGACCCGAGTCTTCTGCACACTGCAGGCCGGCTGCGCTAAGCCGTGGTGTCTGGCAGGCGCCTTAAATGCATTTCTAACTCGAGACGGATCCACGGTGGTGTGACCCCATCCTAAATGGAGGAGCCACTGTGTGCAGAATCGGAACCGACACAGGAGTGAGCCCACCAGGGCCCGCAGGCCCACCTGGCCCTCGCCTACGTTGGCAAGTTCAGTTTCATCAGAACGTACCCGGGTACGTTGGTGTTTGTATTTTAATGACTGCAGCAAGTTCAGTAGTTGTGACACAGACTGTAGGACCCTCCAAATACCTACGATCTGGCCATTTGCAGAACAAGCCTGCCTGGTATACAGTAGGAGCCCTACAATAGTCTCCTGGGCGGGCCTTCAACCCAGGCTTTCTCTGCCAGGCGACAGGTTAACAAAAGCTTTTGGAAACGTCAGCCTCCGCCCAGTGATTCCTATATCCCAGTGCCAAGTGCAATCAGGAGTACAGACGGAGCCACCTGGAGACACAGCCCAGGGGGAGGCTGTGAGGGACAAAGGAAGACTCTCTCTTTAAATCTCTCTTTTGAAAAGAAAGTTCTGCAGAGCTACATTTTCCCTGCAAACAGCTCAAAGAACAGAGATGAGCTTGGTTGAAACGTTCAGGTTGCCCGACTGCCGGCCGCAGTGTCTCACAGAGACCACATGAAGGGTCCTGTCCCCCCAGCCCTCGGTCTATGCACGGAGCTCGCGTGGCCGCCGCCTGTCAGATGTGACTAGTGAATACAGAGGCCCGTCCCCTTGTCCCTGGGGATTTGTGGGGTTGGTTCTGGGCACTGGCCAACCAGGCTACCGGAATCCACAGACGCTCAGGTCCCTCGTATAAAATGCTGTGGTCGGGGGGGCTGTGGCTGGGGCTCAGTGGCAGAGCGCTTGCCTAGCGTGTGTGAGGCCCTGGGTTCCATCCTCAGCACCACATATAAATAAATGAACAAAATAAAGTCCATCAACATCTAAAATAAAATAAAATAAAATGCTGTGGACTCTATAACCTCTGCCCGTCAAGCCATCTCCGGATTACTTAGAAGAGCTGATATAATGTGAATGCTATCAAAACAGTTGCTATCATATGTGGTTTCAGGAGCCATCACAAGGGGGAAAAGCCCATGTTGAGTAGGGATGAACTTTTTTGGAATAGTTTCCATCTGCAGTGAGTTGGCTCCAGGTGTACAGAGCCTGTGGGGACCAAGGGTCAGCTGCACTTGACATGAGCATGCTCCTACCCATGGGGTGACCTTGGATACGTCTCTTCCCCTGTGGGGGCCTCACATTCTTGTCCGTCCAGCGGGACGGGGGTCTCTCTAGGGGTCTCTCTAGTCTGACTTTCCTCCTCGTCCCTCTCTCCACGCCCCTCCCTTCTGCATCCAGAGAGAGGCAGGGGGCTGAGGTCTGCTGCTTCAGGAGGCCACTAGGCCACGTCTCCCCTGGCTCCTGAATGCACCAACATGGGGGACCCAAAGTGCCCCCATTCTGCAGGTGATTCTTGCCTGGTTCTCTGACCTCTAACTTGACATTGAGGAGGCCCCAGAAGCTCAGTGGGTCCATTCCTGCCCCACTTGTTGGCCCCCAGTTCCCTTCCTCCTTCTGGGTCTTTCTCTGTGTCCTTCCCCACCCAAGACCCTGGGGTCATCCGACATCCAGTGATAATCTGGGGTCACCTCTCCTCCCTTCAAAGCAAAATAAAGCATTTTTTTTGATGCTATTTGAATTTACAAACAACAAGGAGGCGTTTTTGCACCTGTGTGTACCTCACGAGGGACAGCGGCAAAGCCAGGCCTTCCACGGGCAAATGAACCATGTGGGTGACCAGGAGCTGTGACGCTGGTCCCAAAGGAAGGCACCCAGTGCGTCTAATGCCTGCGGCTCCCTGGATGGGGAAGGAAGCTCTGACCAGAGAGGAGCGAGGCCCCACGCGTTGGCCGGCGGCTGAGCTTGGCCTGAATCCACGCTCTTCATCTCAAATGCAGCCTCCTCGGCTCTCAACGGCGCTGACTCTCTGTACAAAAATTTCTTTTGGATGCCATCTGTCCTCCCCAGGGACAAAACCATCAGGCAAATAGTTACTAACTGGCCCAAGGGACAATAAAAGGTAAGCAGGTTCCCAGGGGCTACCTTACAGTCCACCGGTGAAGGGGACGGCAGCCTGGGCATGTGGGGACGGCAGTGACCACAGTCCTACCACTCAGCCAGGTGGAGGGGCATGAGGTCCTCCCCACTCTTGGGCCAGCTAGGACTTCTCTGCTCACATAGAGAGAAAGGGAGGAAGGAGGGGACCTCAGAAAGTGACACACCTCATCCAGTCCAGCTCACCTCGACCTCGGGTGTCTCCGTGTGACATCTCAGAAGGTCGCTGACAAGTTGTGGGACCTTCTAAGATTTTACGTCTCTTGTCTGGGAAAAAAATCAGGCTCCCGGCTTCAGAGCTGACCTCACGGGGTGGTGGGTGGGACACAGTGGCCCATGGAATGAGGCTCAGCCAGTGCCTGCAGCTGCGGAGGCTGCGCCCACCCGTGGGCCCTGGGGAAGGCATGGGTCATGGCCAAGATGCCCACGTCCAAGCCATGGTTCTAGATGCAGAGAAGCAGGTGTGGTCTCACCTGTGCAAGATGCTCCCCATACCCAGGGCCCCTCCACTCTGCCCGTGACTTCTCTATTGGCCTCTGAGCCTGCCCTGCGTCTTGCAGGAGACCTGACTTATCACTGGGTCACGGGCACCTGGAAGAGCGCCCTGCACCAGGCAGGAGGGAGGGAGGGAGGAAATAAATCGAGGAGAAAGATAAGAAGAAACAGGAAGCAAGGAAGGAAGGGGCTGCGGGGCCAGGAGGACGGGAAGGCTGTCCCCACAGAGCTCCCGGAGTCTACGCCCCCAATCAGAAATCTTCCAGATCACGCTCAGTGACCATCAAGTCCAGGTCAACCCCCATCCCAGTCCTCTGCTGGGAGAGAACCCAGGCCCTCTGCACGCAGCCCCCTGCCCCCTGCCGCTCCCCTGGGCCCCAATGCCACTGTGATTCGACCCTTTGTCACATAGGTACGGGGGTAGAGCACCAGCAACAGGCAATGGGACTCTTACAAGGGACTTCAGAATCCCCAAAGTCCCAAACCAGCCAGACCCTGTGTTCCGACCCGTCAGGTCTGAGCAGAGCCCAGTGGGACTTACCCTCCAGGGGGCAGAGACGCGTCACCCTCTCGGGCATCAGCAGCCCCAGCTTGTGCTGGCAGTAGGTCTCCCCGATCTCCTGGCGGCAGTGCTTGGACTTGGAGCGGGACAGGGCCGAGATGGCCTCCTTGCCCGAGATGTCGCACCTGGGGGGCTGGTCGTACTTGGTCTCCCGGGAGCTGCCTCCGCCCCTCCGGGCGTGGGGGGGTCTGGGGGGGTCCTTCCCTCGGCTGCTGTTGGCTGCAGCGCTCTCCCGGGGAGGCAGGGCCTCCTTGGGGCCTTTCCCCAGGAAGGGACGTCCCTGTCCCTGTGCTTTCTCCTGGGGCTCCAGCTTCCTCTGCAAACGCTCCTTCTGCCGACCTGGGGGCTTCTTGGCCGACTCCGGCTGGTGCTTCCGCTGCTGGGTCCTGGGCGCGAAGTTGCTGTTGTCCACATTCTCAAAGTCCTTAGGCACCGAGTTCTCGTTGTTGCTATCGGTCCGCACTTTCTCTTTGGGCCGGTGAGAGAAGTAGCCGTCCTGCAGGAGACAGAAAAGAAACAGAGAAGAGAGACTTTACCTGGGGGCTGTGCTCAGGGGGCTGGCCCCCAAGGAACCCCCACCCCCACCAGGGCATGCAGCTGTGGAAGTCTGAGCTGAAGCGTCCAGTCCCACCTCTGCTCTAACTGTGATTCTCTAGGCCTCAAGACAGTTTCTCTCTTTCTTTTTACCATGTCTGTCACTGGGTAACAGATATTTGACTCCACCTTCCTATTGAAATTCTAGAAAGCTGCTATGATGTTTTCTGGGAAGGTTATAACATAATATGTTATAATTATATAACATAATATAAAAATATGTTTATAGATTATATAAACACAATATATTATGTTTATAACATAGTAATGTTATAAAAGGAGAAAATATTGGCAGGATCTTGGACGCCTTCTAAATTGCCTTTGGCTCCTGTACCTGTGCCCTTCAGAGAGGTCAAGACCTGAGCCCCTATGAGTTCTGTAGGGAAGACCTTTAGCTCTCCAAGCCGGTAAGTGGAACAGAGCGAACTGAGCCTCCTGGGGTCGAGAGAAAGGTCAGAAATCAGTGGAGACAACGCGTGCCTTGGACCTTTCCAGAAAGGTGGTGCTAGAAACTCTGCTCCTCTGTGGGTAGGCAGATGGGTCCTAGTGATTTTGAGTTTAGATCAAATGGTCCGAATCGTTCTTGAAACATGGTGCTTCCGGGTAGAGGCCGTTCCCAGAGGTTAACCCCCAAAGCATTCACTATCCCAAAGCCCACCCCTAGGGGCACCTCGGAAGGCACCGAGAGCACTCGCGGGCCCCCTCGGCCTGCTCCTGTTGCTATAGAAGCGCACTGGTGATAAGTAGCATCAATATTTTGTTTTGTTTTGTGTGTGCTTTTTTAATTTTCTTAGGGAGGGCTAAAAATGTCCTAAAATTCCAGTTCCCGAGGAAGAGTGGCGAGGGGAGGGCAGTGGCCATTTCTGGGGCGGTGGACAGGGCAGCCCATGCTCTGCTCGGCTCTCCCTCCGGCAGGTCAGCACCCTGCACCCCGGTGGCCCAAATCTGGCCTGCCACCTGTTTTTGTAAATAAAGTTTTATTGAAACACAGCGACACCTGTTCATCTGTGCATCGCCTGGGGCCACCTTCATGCTACCCTACAGACTGGGCGGTTGCAATGGAAACCGGCCCGTGAACCCTTCCGTCGGGCCCTCTAAGGAAGAGTCTGGTCCTTGCTCTGCAGGAGCCGAGTGTGAAGGCCTCCTGTCCTCTGCAGGGGCTGTAGACGCCCTGTCCTCCTTGTCCTTGTTGGCTCAGCTGTGGCCTGGAGAAATAGCCATACGTGGGGCTGCCCCCTCTACCTCTGCCCCCTCCTTGGCATGAAGCCCCTGTCCACTCGGGGGAGGTGGTAAGGGGGACAGCCCACACCAAGATGGCCACAGCGCACGTCGGGCTATTGCAGTTTTCTTGTTTTATGGAGGGGGAACTGAGCCCCCGTTAACGGGTGACTTGCCCAAGGTGAGCCGGTGGGGACGCTGAGTCCCAGCAGGACAGACCCAGACCCCCAGCTCCCGACGGCCAAGGAGACCGATGCCGTGGTCGCCTCCCCTCAGCACCGCAGCCTGACTCTGCTCGTCAGTCTGCTGTGGACACGAGACCCTTGGACAGCCATCCGGAGGCCGGCCAGCGACCTGCTGTGTTGTGTTCACGAGGGACAGAGCCCAGAAGCTGGGGACACCGAGTGCTAGAGTCAGAGGCGGCAGGAGCTGGGGTCGGGGCAGGAAGAAGGAAGGAGACCGGCTGGTCACCCAGGACCCCGTGAGATGCCAAGTGCAGAGGTGCTCAGGTCCCTTGTATAAGATGGCATCGTATTTGCAGGTATCCTACATGCGTCCTCCCATCCCGTGTTCTTTAAATCGTCTCTCAGTGACTTAAATTACCTGATACAGTAATTTGGAAAATGGAAATAGTCGTTGCGGGAATCAGGACACAGGAGCCGTGGTCAGTACTGATGCACTTTTTTTTTCCCCCTGAATATTTTCACTCTGCCGTCGGCTGAACCCACAGCGGCGGAGGCGGAAGGACGGAGGCCGAGGGCCTTGGCACACCGGGACCGGTGGCTCAGGACCTTGTGGTGGTGGCCTCTCTTTCCTTCCCACAGGGACTTGCCAGACCTCCGGCTGGTGCTCCCAGAGCTCTGGGTTGCTGGTCCCTAAACGCACAGGCTGTACTGATGGCTCTTCTCCGTCTGTCCAGAGCCCCTCAGATGCGTTTTTCTGAGCACAGTGTGACCCAGGCACCACAGTGGGTGACTCACAGGTCCCCCGCGTTGGACAAGGAGGACGGCCCTCTGGGGAGGACCTCTTCTTGCCTCTCACACCAAGGGCAGCCTGTTGCTGTGACCTTCTTGTTCAAGGCGCCGTGCGGAGCCCTTCAGTGCAAAGCCTCGCCTGACCTCCAGAGCTAAGCTCCAAGGTCATGCTGCCCTCTGCCATGACACAGAGGAGGGAGGGGGGCTGGGACGCGATGTGCCCACAGCCATCTGGGCAGGCAGTGAGCTTGCTCCTGATGCTGGAGGTTGCTGGCAGGTTGTGACCCTGCCGTCCCCCTGAGAGGGAAGCCAAGAGGCAGTCGGCTCCCTGTCTCCAGGTGGGGGCCCAGCCGGCACCCCCTGCAATCACGGCAGCAGCCCAGGTAGGACGAGCTGGACGGGGCAGGGTGGGATTCAGTGGGGCTCCTCACGGACATTCAGTTCCCTTCCTTCTGGGCACAGAGGAGGACTGTGCTTCCCTGCAAGCTGGGCACAGCTAAGACAAGTGGCCAGGGCTGGGGGCCAGCTCCAACCCACAGCATGGCCACCAGCTCTCATGGTTGGGATCTTAAATACCCCTCCAAGGCCCAAAGAAGGTTTTCAGGGTCACGAGGAGGATGTGGGACCTAGTGGAAGTTAGATATTGGGAGCACGTACCCTCGAAGGGACATGAGACACCATTCCCCTCCTCTCTCACTTTTTCACTTCCTGACCATCACGAGATTGTCAAGTGTCTTCCACCATAGGCTCCCACCATGATGTACTGTCTCCCCACAGGGTCACAAGCAATGGGCCAAGCCACCATGGACTGAAACTTCTGAAACTGTGAGCCAAGGAGACCTTTCCTCCTTTAAGCTGTTTATCTCAGGTATTTTGTTACAGCAATGAAAGCTGACCAAGACATTGGCCATCTTCCTGATGATGAAGGTCTTGCATCCCTGAGGGTAGCCAGTATAGAGCAGATTCCACCAACCCCCAGTGGGCAGATGGAACCTCTTCTGCTTCATGTCACTGAGATTTGGGGGAGCTCTGTTACTGCAGCATGGTCTAGCTCATCCTAACTAATGTTGGAGCCCACTTGGTCACCCTTCCTCCCAGCTCTTCTCAAACACAGGAACCAAGTTTGTTTTCTGTTTTAATCTCTTGTTTTGACTCCAACAGAGAGAAAATTAGTTTGATGGGTCCAACCCTAACAACATGCATTTTAATTCTGTCTTTAAAATCCCATTTCCTGGAATTTCACAATAAGGTTGGGAATAAGCCAGAGAAACCCGTGTCCTTATAGACAGCAACAGTTTTATTCTGGGACTCTTTTCTTTCTGTTAATAGAGACTCACCAAGTTTGGTGCCCTGAGTGGAAAAGCCCCACAAACCCCCATAAACTACCTATTTCAAAAGCTCATGTTTTGTGCACTTTCTGGCAGAGTTTCAACAAGCAAAACTAGACCAGGGAGACATGATCCCTGCTCTCCATCCGCCCAGACCAACAAAGCTAATCTGACAATCTGTGAAGCCGATTCCTCCAGCTAATTTGCACGACCAGGAACCGGTGCCATCACCCAGTCTGACATGGGCCCGGATTCACCCGCACAGTCTAACTCAGGAGAGCCAACCACAACGGGGACGGTGGCCTCGGGCTGGCCCTGTGGCCTCCGCCTGCCTCCAATGCTGCTCGGCTGCCCACGGAAATGCAAAGGTTCATGGGAAAGAGGGAAGGAAGATATTCTGTCCTCTGGGATGAAGAGCTCACAGATATTAGCTTCTTCCAGAAAAGTCCACAAGAGGCACCGTCAGGGAGAATCAGGCAGGATCCGAAGGTGTGGGACTCCATCACCCTGATCCACGCTGTTTTCCATAGTGACCAGTGGGTCCTCCCTCACCTTCCCTACCTCCTTTTTCTAGAATTTTCTTTATTGTGAGTTTAAAATCTCAATAAACTACGAAATTCGCTGCATTTACGAGACGCCCTGCCACCCCGTTTTAAGTGTACCATGCAGAACCCTTGACCATGGGGAGGGGGCTGGGGGGCAGCTTGCATGACTGAGACTTCAGGCCCCCTGGTGAGCAATTGCCAAACTCCTCGCCCAGCCCCGGGCCCCGCCTGTCCACTCTGACTCTATGATTGGCACCTGCGTAGTCCACGTCATGGAGCCTGCGTTACCTCACTGTCCCCTCTCCTGTGGCATGAGGTCCTCAGGCTCACCCATGAGGCTGCACGCGACAGGTTTCCTTCCTACGTGAGCAAGAACCACTCCGCGGTACGTACCCCCCACCTTTTCTGCATCCATTGTCCATCACTGGGCCTGAGGGATTCCCCCCAATTCCTCCTGTGATCACCAAGGGGACGACGGGGCTCAGCTCTTCTTCCCCTGGGTTCCCCAAGTCCACAGAGCCAAGCTCACGTCCCCTTCTCTGTGCAAAACTTTGGAAGGTCCCGGGCAGATGCCTGGAGAGAACCAATGTCCATGTGCCCCCATGCTCTGGCCCTTCACGCAGAGGATCCCCAGGGCATGGGTCCTGGTCCTCTGGGACACTGGTTGAGGCAGTGGGTACCAGTCCTGATTAAGAGGACGGAGCTGAGGCACAGATGTTAAGTACCCGAGGTCCCACTGCTCCTCAGGGAGCGACTCAACCTCCCTGTGCCTCAGTTTCTCACCTGGAACATGGGGCCAATCATAATATTCACCTCACAGGTCATTTGGTGAGGCTG